GGTGTTCAAGCTGTCCTGCCTTGTGTGGAAATCACCCACAACTGTGTGAACTCTTTAGCCCCACACATTTGTAAAAAAGAAGCAGGAAGAAACTGCTGGAAGGCAGGCTGGTCAACGCCTCTTTACCGCCTTGACTGGCTTCCTTCCTCCCACATCTCTGGTTCCCTTCTGCCTCTCCCACTCTAGGTTTTTGTTTTTTCTCTTTGTTCCTCTGCCCTTATATCATCTCTCCACCCGCATTGTCCACCCACATCCTGGTCTGCCCCCTGACATTTAGAGATCGGTGCGTGGGTTAACTAATACCCCTTCTTCCTGTCTGCCGGTGACTTCTCCTCTGGAGAAATCCCGCTGCAGTGTGCCTTGAGAATCCAGCCCGGGCTTTCCCTCTTCCGTACAGCTGTACAGTCCGCTGGTTGCTGGCACCTTATTTATTTAATGTCTGAGTAATACCCGTTGTCTGGAGCACACCTAGGGGTAAGCCAGCCCCACTTCTCTTCCAGGCAGGAGTTTCCGCTCCTCCTTGCTCGTACTAAACACGGTGAGTTTTGTTTCTTACGCTGCATGGATCTGTGTTTTGGAAAACCGGTTCTGTTCTTCTAAACTTTGGTGGGTGCCAGTTCTTTTTACACTTGTTGTTGCAAATGTGCCTTTGAAGCAGTTCTCAGTTTTGGTTTTGGTTTGGTTTGTTTATCTTTTAAAAATATCCTTCAGCATACTTGCAGATTCTTAAAATCTGGAAGTTATTTACAAAGAGAGAGAGAGAGAGAGAGACGTTCTTTACAGACCTGTTGCCTTACTCCCCGTTTGGAGAGGGAAAAATTGTGTGTTGCATGACTGTGCCAGACAAGTGCTCTTTGAAGCTAGTTCACTAGAACTAGTTCAGAGTCAAGTGAGTTCAGGTTTGTATTTTGGCGGGAATGTGGATCCGAATCCTGCTTTTTAGAGAGAGAAAGGCATCGTGGGTTGCTCCTGACTACTCCGGGTTCAGTGGTATTCTGTAAACTTCAGCTGACTCTGAGAAATCTCTGTTTGTTTTGTTTTTCCCTGAAGGGATATACAAAGGCTTAGGTGTTATCCTTGCTTTAGTCCAAGCCAACCTCCCAGATTTGAAAGGTTTTCTCCTGCAAACTAACCTGTGGTTCTTCCCTATTCATCTTCTGAAACAGCACTGGTTGCTGTTTTTATTTTCCTCTAGTGCCCCAGAGTGCAGTGACATCTAGAACATTGTGGGAATATAAAATTGTCACAATTCGAAATCAGGTGTAATGGAAAGGAGGGTGCAGTGCATGACCAGGTACAAACCGTAGACTGTTACTGCCAGATACCTGGGTCAATGGACCAGTCCTGTAATAGCCATGCCTTTTTAAAGTGTTGAAGGAAAGCGTCCAAGAAAGGAGATAAATGATCATTCCTTGAGCTGCCATGTTTGAAGTGTTGGACTGGGCTGCAAGAGGGCCGGGGAATTTTAATTGAATGATTTTGGGCCACTCACTTCTTTTGGTCTCACCTACTTCACAGGGTTGTTTTGAAGATAAAATGGAGAGAACGGGAAGCCCGAGGATGGTACCGTGAGCTCGTTGGAAGAAAGGTAAGATATAAATGTAACGAGTGATACCAACTCAAATGTGCCAGTTTGAGTTGTGAAGGAATATGAATACTTAACACAACCAACCAACCAACCAACCCTGTAATGAATTGTATTCACATTTTGCCATCTTGGATTTATAGTATATATTTATTGGTTTAACTGTTTTTAAAAGTGTAATGCCGCCCAGAGTAGACCGTTGGTCTAGATGGGCGGGGTAGAAGTCCAATAAAATAAATAAAACTTTCTTGTTTATTTTTCCTCAAGATCTCCCACAGTCCTCAAGCTAGAAGACACAGTCTGTTCTTCCCATTTAGCATCACAAGACTAGATTAAAGTTAAACATAATTGATTAAACATGTCATTGGCCCAACCTCATCCAGTGAGTGCTATGTTTGAGCGAGGATTAGAAGCTAGAGATGGGCACACACCGCTGGTTTTTGGCGATTCGTGCTGGTTCGTTTAGAGGCTGAAAAGGTGTTTGGCGCTTACCAGCCCCACCTCTTCCAGCAGGTGGCCGCTAAACGAACCTGCATGAATCATCGAACTGACAGTTTGTGCCCATCGCTTTTAGAAGTTATTTCTCTGTCTAAGAAATGTTTGAGGAGTTTGAGAAGGTCCTGTACGCAGTGTAGAAGGAAGGATCGCACAGAGCTGCCTACAGGCCCTCTAGAGAAAGAAAACCTGAGTTTTCCAGCCTCTTCATTTCTTTTGATTAGAGACACAGTCACAGTGGTTGTAGATAATACTATGGGCTATAGAAAGATTTTAGTTCACTAATATTTATGGTATACTGTATCAACTATAATTGTCTCCTCACCTGCTGGCAAGAATGTGCCCTTCCTTGTTCAGGGTTTGCACCATTCAGCCATACTCTCTGTCCCTTTCAGTCTTTTTATCCACATTGTCTAACAAATTTAGACCCCAAAGATCTATTTAGAAATATGCCCTTAGAGTGTCACCTCTCCCCCGCAACACTATTATCTCCTTTGCTATACATGGTTTAGCATTTAGCGGTGCTCTTATTTACATTCCAGAGATTATTCCCATCCCCATCATGCTTCTCCCTTTACGGAGCACTCCAGGAATTGACCCACCCTCCAAATTCAAATGGGAGGATTTTTCTTCTGCATATGTGCCAGCTCTCATTTGCATACTTCAGCACCCAGAGACACCTAACTGTACGATAAATCAGAAAATGCCAAGTTCAGCCTCACTAAATTCAAAATGTATTGCTCGGGAGAAAAATAGCATTTGTTTTTTTTGGGGGCTACAAATCTCACAGGATCCCCATCCAGCACAACCATGCCAATTAGGAGATTCTGGGATATTTCATTAAAAAAGAGAAGCACCCCAACGTCTACCTGAACAAGAGTCTTGTCTTGTTTACTGCAGATGATCTTGTGCCGTTGTCATTCATGATGAGGGCCTGGCATTCAGTTCATATTCAGATGCACTCCGTCCTTTCCTAGTTTGATGGGATGGAGTTATGTCAGGTATTGTGGAGTGGGTGAATCTGTCTCACTGGGGTGAGCACTCTGGAAGTCTCGGCATAGACAAAGGAGTACGTTTTGTTTGTGTGCAATGTAGAAATAAGCGCCCACACACCTCTTCCAGCCTCAGCATCAAGGGAGGAAACAGCTGTGCCAAACCTCCCTCCCTCCGTTGAGCTGTTCGTACTTTAGCCCTTGATTATTCACCGTTTTCCGACAGCTTGGTATCCCTTTAACTCTGGCTTAGCAACGCCACCATTGGAGGGGCTTGCCGTTCGGCAGAGGCCTCTTTAACGGGACACCTTCGCTTTCTCCGTGCCCTTCTGTTTCCAGGGATGCAGAACTCAGTGTCACCCTCTTATCTTTGCTTCTCGTCCTTTGCTGCCGCCTCGTCATAGCAACGAAGGGGCTGTTTGTCCAGGTTGCCACGGTTTCCTCCACCTAATCAGGCTTGGCCGGCTATAGTAGCCGAAAGCCAGCCGGCTGGATGGCGGTAAAACCAGGCCCGGAACCTGCTTGTCATGGAGCCCTCCTCCCTCTGGTCCAAAGAGACAGAGCTCATTTAAAAATGCTTTGACTGGGACCATGAGTGGGGGCCTCTGGAGGCTTTGTTTTTGCTTAGTTCAATCATTTGGGCTTTTAATTTTGTTTTAATAGTGCGTTTCTGCAACCCTGGGTTTATTAGATGACTTCTTCCAAGGAGCCCCGAGTGCGATGCCAGTTTTCAGGTTTTTGAAAAATAACACTTGTCTACCACCCGCCGATAGAAGTGAAGGGTATCTTGATAGTTTCTTCTTACTTCCCATTAATAGAACAATCTACTGTCAAATGAAGCGCTGCTGATGTGGTGAAAAATTAAAGCTGTGAGGATTAATTGAATCAAGTAATAGTCCCCAGGCTGCGACAGGGTCGTGCTGTGAAAGATTAATTTGAATTATGAAGGATGCCTGGGGTGTCCCGCCTTTCCAAGTATCTCTGTAACAGGGGAAACCATTGTCCTCTGCCTGTTTGTGATTTGCTGCTCAAGGTAATGGAAGTGCGTGGATCGGGGCTCTCTGGGCTGTTCCACTTAGTATCCTGCATAACTTTTCACAGGGCCCTGTTTCTGAGTAGATGTGTATAGACTCAAGCTGTATTGTCTCTACCGCTATTGAATTTACTAATATGAAATCCTAATTCTTCCCATAGCAAGAATGAGAAACCAAACAATGTTTTTTTTCCCTTGTCTGTGAGATGGTAACAATGGTATATTTTTTTGAGAGCGGTGTCTGTGAGAGTTTTTCTGTTTGCGAGGATGGTTTTGCACAGATAGATTAGGTAAACTGTGATAGCCCAACACTTAGAAGGCTTGGGTGGGCCATTTGTATGTTTTTGATGATCCTTCTGGGCAGAAGTGCTGAATTCTCTAGGGCAGGGGCTCCCCACCGTGGGTCACCCCCAATGTTCTTGCGCTGCCACTCCCAGAAACCCCAGCCCACACAGCTGGTGGCGAAGGCTTCTGGGAATTGCAGTCCAAGAACCACCAGGGCGACCCAAGGTTAAGAACCACTAATCCGGGGCTATCCTGATCGTTCTTTCTAGGTTGACGGAGCCCGGGCTATTCATGACGTGACCCCAGAATATTTGAGAGGGATGTCAACGAGTGTCCCTTCAGGCCTGTGCGGAGGAGCACAAATCTTGGATAAGCAGAGGGGGGCGGGGACTTCAGAAGCACATGGCTTCTCAGGCCTGAAGGATTGTGGCCATTTAGGTGAGCTTGCTTCTTCATGGATTGCTGCCTTGTCTGAGGATTGTGGCCATTTAGGTGAGCTTGAATGAACTGGCTTGAACGGCCCCATTCTCTTGCCTCTATAAGCCACCTGGATTGAGCTCCATCCTGTCTCTTTGCTTCTCCCCACTCCACCCCACCCAAACTGGGGAAATGAAATCGGAATGACCGAGCAGTTAGAAAGCCTCTGCTCCGCAAATATTTGGGTCACATGAAGGAAGCTTTTTGAGAGCTAAAGCTGCACCGAAGCGGTGCCAAGTTCAACAGGTTAAAGAAACACAGTGATGTCATCTGCCCCGTTTTGGCGTGCGCTGTTGAGGGTCAAGCCGGGCAATGGACGCGGGCCAGCATTCTCACCTTCCCCTTCCCTGAAGGGCAGGAAACTTCCCACATTCTAGGTCCTGCCCTGAACTCGACAAAGGAAAGGAGGGCTACACGATGGGAGCTTTTGCAAGCAGCAAGGAGGAGAACCTTAGTGCCTTGTTGTTCTACTGCTGTTATCAAAAGGCACGCACAACATTCAATGACAAACCCGTGGGATCAAAGGGGGATTGCAAAGCAGGTTAATTCATTGTAATCAATTCCGTAAGTCTCTCCATAGGTCAGTATGGGGTGCCAGAGGAGAAGCAACCTCGTCATTTGAGTCCACAGATTCTATAAAGGGGTGCCAGGTTTTGTTAAGCTGTGCTGTCACCAATTTCTCACAGATGCCAGACCTTGAGCAGACAGGTTTTCCATAAGTCTTAAATATCAGATGTGGGTCTACCAATGGGAATATGGTGATAACCAGCATGCCCTTCCATTGATCCGTAGTCACTAGCCCAGGGCGAGCGCATTTTCCCCCTCAATAGAAAATGAAAACCTCGGTGCCCAATTCTGAACCTCAGCTTGTGACTGCAGGGCGTCACAAGCTGAGGTTCAGAATTGAGCCAGCTAAAGGAAACCCATCCCTTAGCTGGCTCCTCTTAACGGCCAGCTGGGAATTGTGTGGCACACCTTGTAAGAAATACTTCCAAGTGAAAAATTGGCGTGGAAGTCTTACTGTGGATGGTGATGTTGTTTATCTGCACACTCCTTCATCCTATTGGGAATGCGGCTGGCCGCGAGATAAGCCTGCGTGTTTTCTGACCAGGGCTTCCCTCTGCTGAGAAAGAGCCAAGGGCCAGCTTGTTGTTTTACAACTACGGCTCCGGTGGGAAAACTGAAGCCGTCAGAAACAGACAGCAAGGGCAGGCTCGGCAATCACAGTGTCACGGCTCTGGAGAAACTGGTGCTTGTAAGAATTCTTTGTAGTGTGTGTGTGTTTTTCCCCCACCCCTCCTCTCTGGTTTTCAGAGAAAGAGAGCAACCTGCTTTTTAAACATGCCAAGGACGATGGATGCTTCATGCTTCCCTTTTTGTTTGTTTGTCTTTACAGAGAAGAGCCGGCCGCCTTGTGCAAATGTCCCACTGTGTCTCTCTCCCTGTAAGTGTTGCTCCCAACAAAGTCAAATATTGAACATAGGGAGGGTTTATTTTTCCGGCCGCAGCGCTCTTTCGGGGGCACCTACCTCACTTGCTGTTGGGCTAGGGCTTCACAATAATCTTCCCATCAAAATTCCTTGGAGGGCTTGGCAGTCATAGTGGTCAACTCTCATAGACACAGGCCATCAGTTCTTGGACTCTTGTGTACAGTTTTTCTGCACTCTCCATGAAGGGGTTGTGCTTAGCCTGAAGAAGTGGAGGTGTTTTTTTTTCCACGAAAGCTTGAGATTTGTTTGATTTTAAAAAGTATCAGCCACTCTTACATTTGTGTAATCTTTGGGGCCCGCACAGCCTTTTCCTTGTTCCTTCTTGACATCTGTTTGTTAGTCTTCTTTTAAGTTTCCTGGCTTTCCCCCGCTCCTTTGGGTGATGTAACCGTTGGGTAGTTGATTCCCCCAGCCACCCACAAATGTCTGATACTGGTACCTAAATCTTACTTGATAGCAGCTTGGAAGCTTATGTGGATCTTTTCCACTGCTGCAAGGTGTTTGTGGTGAGACACCCCAGATTATAATTTGGCTGCTACGTGACAGCTTCTAAACTAACTTCAAGGGGAGCCCCACAGTATATGTTACAGTAGTCCAGTCTTGTGGCTTCCAGGGCATAGATTGGCCTAGTCAGGCTAGCAGGTCAGAATGGGAGGCAAGCTATGAGCCAAATACCTGCATGACCACCAAGCTGCTCGAATTTTCTAAAGGCAAGTCGGCATTGCTCAGTCTGACCTGCCTTACAGTGTTGTTGTGCGATGATGGGGCACTGACAGCTTTGCCCAATCCCGACTTATTAACAAATCCATCAACATGTTTTTCTTGCACTTTGTATCAAAGTTGAGTCTGTGAATGTGAGAAGGGGTGTTTTTTGCAACTACAGAAATACAAATTAATCGTTCTCTTTTTTAAAAAAAGGGTGTAGATTTCAAGTCCAAGGACAGTTGTGTGTTTTTGTCTCTGAGAAGTGTTCTAGTTATTTGTTTGCAACAATATAAAAATATCAATTGAAACAAAACTAATCCTCTTCATTGCAGATTTGATGCCGTTTACTTAACTAATGCGGTCCAGCAGAATGGCCGATACTATTTTTGGCAACGGGAATGACCAGTGGGTGTGTCCGAATGACAGGCAGCTGGCCCTCCGAGCCAAGTAAGCTTCCGTTTTTTAAAAATTTGATTTATATGCCATTTCCCGCCAAAACCGGGGCTAAAGGCAGCTCTCAGTGAAAGCAATTTTAAAAATGTACAAAATTGAAAACAGAAAGTTATATTGTGACGGTGCAGCTAAAGACAGAGGAAAGAGTGACAGAATTGAGCATGTTTAGCCTTGAGAAAAGAAGACTGAAGGGAGATAAGAGAGCACTTTTCAAATGCTTGAATGGTAGTCCTACAGAGGAGGGTCAGGATCTGTTCTTAATCATCCCGGAGTATAAGACACGTACAAATGGGCTCAAGCTACAGGAAGCCTGATTATCAGAAAAAACTATTGAATGGTTAGAGTAGTATGTTAATGGAACCAATGACCTCCAATGACTTGGATTCCTGCTCTGAGAAGGGGGGGGGTTGGACTAGATGGCCTTAGAGGCCCCCTTCCGACTCCATCGTTCCATGATTCTGTAAACAAGTGAGAGCATTAAAACACAGAATTGAATTAAATGGGGGAAAGGCTTGGTTCCATGATTCTGTAAACAAGTGAGAGTATTAAAACACAGCAGAATTGAATTAAATGGGGGAAAGGCTTGATTAAAAAACTACTTCACTGTAATGAGGTATCTCTAAGTTCTTTATTTATTTTGAGAGTGCGGGCTTATATGAACCAGGAATTTTAAATTCCTCATGGTGCATCTGGGAAATTCTTTATTTTGGTTCGGATGCAGGTGCTTCAGTCTTAATTTCAGACTTTAAAAATAAGGAAGATTATATTTGGGAGTGCAAAACAGAGGTCAGGATTTGTTGAAATGCCTATTTTTTCTCCAGACTGTTGACTCAAGAGGCAAGTCATGAGACAAAAATGAGGGATGGGAGAAAATCTATCCCGGTTATAATTTATGTCTGCCCAGCTGGTCTATGTGACCCCTTTCTAACAGGAGCCGGAACATACGTCTCTTTTGCCCTTTTGTTATCTCCTTCTTAGGTGGAAATTAAATTGGATTAGGGGGAGGAGGTGTGGGCCTGGAAAAAAGAGGAGTGAAATATTGACATGAGCCACCAGCTCAGGTCGTATTGCATGGTGGAGCTGTCTCATCTTCCGGAAGGTTGCCAACTTCGAAATTAAAAATTAGATGACTTGGATTCTTTCCCCTCTCCCATCACAAAAATTAAAACCTTCCTCTCTGAATTGTTTTGTCTGACCACCTTATGGGCGGTCATTTATTGTTGGGGTAATCTGGATGAGTGCAATATTTTATGCTTTTGGATCCCAACCCTAATGCCTCTCAAATCTCAACTGTGACAGGAAATCCATTCCGGTCTACAATATAGATTTTCTTGTTTCGAACCCTTCAGTTGGGCTGGTCAAGATTTTATGCTGGCAAAGGCAAAGGAGAAGCAAGCCTTCCCTACCCTCCCGATGTACAGTATATGTTTTCATTCTGAACAATTTCTTCCTCTCTTTAATAAAATGTTGATATCCGGTCCTGGGCTCCAGGCAGCAAACCAACATGAAACCATTTAAAAATGGCTTTCAAATACCGTATCAAATTCCTGCATCTTTGAAAGAGCCACAGAGCTTCACTCCAGAGCTGTCCTCTCTTCATTTTCTTTGCAGGCTTCAGACTGGCTGGTCCGTGCATACGTTCCAAACTGACAGACAGAGGAGGACGCAGGCCCTGGATGCAAAGGAGATGGAGGTCATTTTGGAGGTCATCCGTAGGGCGGAGAAGCTAGACCATGTGGAGCAGCAAAGGATAGGGTACAGTTCTCCCACGTTTATGAATTTCTGAAGATTTCTTAATACTTTGCAGTTCTTCCTGCTTTCGTCTTCTCTCTTCCTCCCTCTGGTGGACTGGTTCAGCAAAGAGTCGAGCTGGAGCAAACCCCAAACGGTGGTCACTGCAGAGCTTGGAATAAATCTTCCAGGATGCACACATTGCGTGAATGCAGTTACTGCCCCCCTCCCCCATTGTCGCTTTCCTATGGTAGACTGTTGCCAAACATGGAGGTTCATTTCACCTGTATCATGGTTACATTTGGCCTTGGTACCTAAAATCTGCCAAACTCCTTCTAATTACATGATAGGAAAAAAATATCTAGCAGACGGACGGCCCTCTCTTCTCTTTCTGTCACATTCCCTTTACCCACAAAGCAGAGCTTGGCAACGTGGCTGGAGAATTCCTGCAACTGTATCTAAAAAAGTAACACACGCACGCTGTGCGCGCACTGTGTTCACAAGTAAGCAGATGTGGGGCTCTGCTCCGGATCAGGTCCATCAGAGGTAGATAAGGGGGACTGAAACAACCTCCCCCAGGGCTTGTCTCTGAAATCCCTTCCCCCCCCCAAAAAAGCAGGGAGGACCCTCAGTTCTAATGGAGCCTTTGATTTAGCCCTCTCCTCTGTGGGGTTTGTGTGGGTAGTTTTCAAAAAACAAGGGATGGGGTGAAAAATGGGATAAGGCGGCTTGCAGCCTACAAGCTTCGTTTGCACCCTCCAAACTCCATTTCTGTCCCTCTGTGCTCCAGCGGCTGCTTTTGCCACCACCTGCCTTCTGCTCCCTGAGGAAGGCACACCTTGTTACCTGTTGGCATCATGTTCTCAGTAGGATGTGAGGGGTGCAGTTTTCCTGACCAGCGGGCGCGCACTCTCTTGCAGCCCTATTTAGCTATTTTTTTTTTTTTTTTTTTTGGCAGCGGCTCCAGAAATGGGGATGGCCTGAGTAGCCGCAGCAGGAAGGGGCCCCATCCCCAGGTAGATTTGGGGAGTGGGAGTGGTGCCTCTTCCCAATTTAAATTTCCCTTATCCATGCGCGCTACTCCCGACCTAAGCAACTTTTCTGGATGCTTCCCTGTCAGCTGAGTGTGTGCCTTGTTGGTTGGTTGAACTGCAGCAGCCCTAGAGGTGGTTCCCACAGAAGCCAAAGCTTCCTTAGCTCAGTTCTAGGAGGTCTGTTGTTACAAGAAGTAAATTATATTCCGCTCAGCTTGTTGCTGCAGGGAGCAATACCCCCCAAATAACCCTTTTCCTGTTGATGCGTCCCTTCTCTGTTATGGCCCTGCATTCTCCTGGGAAATTGCTTTTCCGCCTTGGGCAACGAACCAGCTTAGATCTCTCTAGCTGGCAGATTACATTGGAATAGTTTTTTTACCTGGGTTTCTTAGGTCCGAGGCATCATTGCTTCACTAACTCCATCTCTTATGCGATGATGCTATTATGTCTTCTTCTGAATTGTGGTCCCTTGTGAATTTTGAAATCTTTTAACTTCTCAGGCCCTGCGGTGTTCAACAGGAGGAAAGTAACTGGGGAAAACCCGGGAGGTTTGTTTTGCCTTAGGCAAGGTGAAACAAAAGGGTTATACGCTCCCAGGTTGTGTTCAAAGCTGCCATGGGTGTCTGGCTGTTGATGGTTTTATATTGAATTAAATTAAATTAGGTCCACAAGAGAAGCAACATCCACTCGAACGCAAGGTCCGTGATGTCTAGGACATGGGTGCAGGGTGGATGAAAATCAAATTTTAAAAAAAAGCAAATTAATTTAAATCACGATTGATTTAAATTGTCAAAAATTTCTGATTTTAAAAAAATTCAAATCATGCTTTAAATTGGTTTGATTTACATCAGATCCACCCTGCATGTATGTCTCTTTTGGGATATGGGGTGAATATTAGAGAACAGCTTGAAGAGAGAGGGAACAAGACGATGCATCTCTACATGTCTTAGGGGCATGAAGCATAATTCCTAAATTCCTCCTCAATTTTTGTGGAGGTCAGCATGCTTGGCAGATGGGAGGAGCATTCTCAGTTCCCAGAGTCTGACCGGGTCAGAGTGCTGGGGGCGGGGTACTGATTTGAGCGCCTTAGATCCGCATGTAGCATGTGGATCGTATTCTGCCCACCCTTCCAATGCTGCTTGCCAACGGTTAAAAACCCAATGCAGCTAAAAGCCACAGCAAGGTATAGTAGTACACCGGTTAAGTGCGTTACCGTATTTAAAAAACCATGGGGGTTAAAAGGATCATTGGAAAGTTAGGAAATGGACATGGAGGAGGTTGGAGGGTTCAGACGTCCACCACGTGTACGAGACAGAACGATTGTTTTGAAATAAATCAGGGTGGCTCCTGGCTTGGGATCCTGCTGTGATGGGGACTCTCTCTGCCTTGCAGGCGTCTGGTGGAGCGGCTGGAGAATATGCGGAAGAATGTGATGGGCAATGGTTCATCTCAGTGCCTGCTTTGCGGGGAAGCCCTGGGCCTGCTCAGGAGCACGGCCGTCTTTTGCCAAGACTGCAGAAAGGTGAGCGTCGGCCATGACGTCATTCTCTTCAGTCCAGGTTCATTGCTTCTACTCGTACCTCGCAGCTGCTCTCGAGAGTCTTGGGCAGAAAGGAGCAGGGAAAGCTTCCTTTTCAGGGGGGATCACAGCTCCTGGAATGTCGCAGCTGTGTGGGAGTGTTTCTAGGAGTGGACAAAAGTAGCTTTTCCAAATTCCTGAAAACAAGGTCTCCTCACCTCCATCCTGGGTTTACAATGTTGTCTTTCTCATGGCCTTTTCCGTCTGTTTCTGTTTACCTGTCTGTACAGTGGGTATAAAATTGGCCCCTGCCACACCGACCTTCAGAACAAACAAAGGCAGCCCTCCTACCTTTGGGGGTCAGGCGGATTGTTTCCTTGCCTGCTTTTGACATTGATCTTGAAGTTGTGTTAAGAACTTTGCAAAGAAAATGCAAGTGACATGTTCTGAAGAATATAAGTAAGTGTGTGCCACGTAATAGCGGACAGTTTAATAGGTGCTTCTCTTTTGAGTAGAAATTCAGCAGAGCCCCCCCCCCCAAGTTCTGCATAAAGCAATTTGCAGTCACCCCTTCAGTAACCCTGCAAGCTTGGTTTGACACGGCTATAATTTTATTTTTTATTTTTTTACAAAGTCCATCTTTTCCTGGATGACCTTGCTCTGTTGCCTCCCCACTGGGGGACTCCATTTAGTTTGCTGTCCGCAAGACTCCTTCATGCTCCACGGCACGAGCAAAACGTTTTAGAGCTTTTAAATCACCGAGGGAGCCGACTTGAAATTGACAGCTCAGTGCAGTACTTACTTTTTATTTTATTTTTCCCCAACAACAACAAGCCCCTTGCAGGATGGGTTTCAGAGAGAAAGGGATTAAGAAGAAGAGAAAAGAAGAAAGTTTTTGTTTGCAGTCTGGTGCAGCAGGTGATCAGTGTTGCTGACGGAGTTGCCCACCTCATTTGCTCACCGTGTTTCAATTCCCCTTGTGAGAAATGTTGACCGGGTGCTGTGGGGTAGGAGAGATGGTGAGGGAATAAGAGAGGAGACTGTAGCGGTGTGATGTTGTGCTAGTTGGTGAAAACTGTGGATTAGTACGGTGTACATTGGTGGTTTTGAACTACAGCTTCCAGAATTTTGGGAGTTGTCCAAAAACCCAAATCTGTACATTTCTGCTGCTAATCTGAGAGAGGCTGCTGCCCATAAGTGGTGGATGATTGGAAGATGGGCGCACTAGTGGCACCCTTACCCCAATGGTCCTTCCCTGGTAATTGGCCTCCACTGTCTTGCATGGATCTTTGTGTAACTTTTCGGGTGATGGCGGACTCAGTTCCATTGTCAGGATGAGCAGCTTGGCCGTTGTCGGCTATCAGTTGGCTTCTTCATGAGGAGGGAGCCGAAGGCAGGGGGGCATCATCTTGTGCTTCCTTCAGGCAGCAAAATGTGGGTCCCCATTCAGTCCTGAAGGTTCATCTCAAGAACCCCCCCCCCCAGGATACCACAAGCTCCTCTCTTCTACTCTGCCTTTATCCAGAGCAGGGCCTTGAGGGTGGTGGGGCCCCCTTCCATCACAAATTCACCCTGCCCTTAGATTTTTTTTTTTAGTTTGGATTAATTATGAAGGCCTTCCATCTGCAATCTAATCTAACATTTATCACAAAGGCTCTCTAAATATGTGTGTCCTCTGTGTTGTCTGTTGGTGTATCACATATATATTTTAGTGGGCACAGCTTTGAAATGTTTGAATCTAGGTCTAGCAGATGACAGCAACAGGTTAAACCCAGAGCGTGGAAACGTTATTTTTTTTCTAGACTACATTTCCCAGAATGCCCCAAACGTTGGCTATGATGGGACAGTAGATGTTATGGGATTTGTGCTCTGAAAGAAAGCAGTATTCCCAAGTTCTGTTTATGCCCACACAGAAGACGCGTGACAGACAAATGGAAGTGAAGAGCTGAGGGAAATAAAGTAAAAATTGTGTTATTAAAAAAAACACAACCACTAAACCTCTCTCATAACCAGCAAATGAAGGTTTGAGATACAGATACGGCGGTGGCAATGCTGAAGGCCAGCCCTCTGCTTAGGGCACCTGCTTTGGGATCTGTTAGCAATCTAAAATTTCTGTTTAACAATTTCCATTTCTTCAGTTATCGTAGCAAATCGCCTTTTTAGGAACAAAGTCTACCTCTTATACCTCTTTCTTCTCAAATCTACCCTCTTCCACCTTTCAGGACAATGACCACATCTGTAACAGCCCCATTATGCCAAAGCTGCAGTTCTTAATCAAGCTGTGGAGAAATCTGGCAGTAGTAATTTTGAGAGTCTTGTGTTGATAAATGTGAACGCTCAGATTTTGAGAGGACCTGAAGGCAATTTTTGTGTTTTCCCAGAATAACCAGCATTTAACGTAGCTGTAAATAATTGCATCCCTTTAAACTCATCCCTCCTTCTCCTTCA